CTCCGACGAAACAGTTTGTCACAGCCCCTCGTTTGTTGTCCTCTTCTCCCTCTCTGCCTACGGTTTACCGGGCAGTTCTATTTGACGATATATATATATATATATATATATATCTATATATATATATTGCCCGTGCCGGGCAAATGGACCCGGGCTACTCTGGTAGCCTAGATCCTAAGTACTAATTTCTGGTAGCCTGGACCCTAATTACCATACCCTGTGACATCCTTCCGGAAAGCTGTTCGTCTTCTTGCTGCTGAACCTGTTCGCCCTGTTGGACGCAGTGCAGTGGTTGGGTGTCTCACGAGGCACGACATATGAGAAAGTTGTATATTACTATATTCACACACCCACAAACTTATATATCATTATGAAATCAGTAAGAAAACTAGGGATTAAAAAAAGAAAAAAGGGGGTCCCTTGTCGAAGGTAAAGAAAAGGTGAAAATAGAGTGCTCCTTTACCACATTTCGGATAAGAAAGTGGGTAAGCGTGTGGGTGAGACCACATTTGGGAGGCAGCAGCCAATTTCTTTCATGGCTTGATAGCCCAAAATTATGCATATGGTTTCAGAATGTCGTCCTTAAAAAAAAATAATAATAATAAAAAATCCTCCTTGCCGCTTCAGGCAGTACCGGGACCACAGATGACCTCTACTACTTGCTGTCCCTAGTCATGCCAACTTACCATACAACATCGTTGTTGCTTTCAACACACATCGTGTCCTGCGATCGGCCACTACCTCCAGCAAAGCACAACCCCATCAGCACAACGAATCTTACAAGTTCGCATCAACAATATGCACCACTGTATTAGTTCTTAGCAAAAAAAAAACGCTATGCCAAACACATCTACCTGTTTCTACAAATCAACAACGATTCCCACCTGACACTGATGACAACAACACCAAATGTCACTGCCCTCACAATGCTCTCTCTCTCTCTCTCTCTCTCTCTCTCTCTCTCTCTCTCTCTCTCTCTCTCTCTGGGTCTCTGTCTCTGTCTCTGTGTGTGTGCATCCACGCACTCCAGCTGTGGGTGTAGGTGGGGGAGCTGAGCAAGTGGCGGGTGCGGGTGCGCACTCAGGTGCTGAGCATCCATTTCACCAACCTACATTCTGTTTGCAATCTTTCACACACGTACTCCCAAGACAAAGGATGGCGTCGTGCAGCATGAGGTACACAGCAAGGGGACAACCCGACAAGCTTTGGGGTGTAAGCTGGGAGAGGACTCCTAACTCTTCTCTGATAGCACAGAACACTCTCTGGCACTCGACTCTCTGCCAAACTCTAAAAAACAAACGGAGTGCCACACGTTGTGACACACTCTATAAGAGGAACAGCTCTCCTCTTGCAGTCGGATACTATTCAAAGTCACTCAAGTTGTCGCTTCCTTGTTTCCTTCTTCTCTACTCCAAAAGCCCCCACCAACCTCCAGTTGCTCAGGAGGATTGGTAATCAATCGCTCCTGAAGTTCTGAGCCAGAAATACAACCCCACCACCTCCACAACAACCACCTCCACAATCACCACCTCCACACCCACCAGCAATCGCTCCTCGAAACGATGTCCTGATGAAAAGATGATGACTTAGCAGCAGATCAACGGTTCATCCGAGGGTGTGGGGACCACCAACTGTGCGCCGACCACCCAAGACGACGATTAAGGAACGAACACTCGTTATCAATAACTGCGTTCGTCAACAGAAAACCCACCATCTATCTATATGACACGTGTGCATCGTCAACCATGATCTCCTTCTCGAAGGCTCACGGTCATCACACCACAACAAGTCAAACGGGTCGCAATCACTCATCCCACACACACTACTTTCCACCCCCATGTTCCTTTTTCCTCCCCCTATGCTCGTTTTTCCTCCCCCTATGCTCCTTTAGTCTCCTCCATGCTCCTTTTTTCTCCCTCATCCTCCTGTTCTACCAAAAAATACCCTCCTTCGGTTAAGATGAGTGATCAAACAAGACTAACAAGCACATCATCAATAAAAGAATTTTGAAGTTCTAATCAATTGAGTACTAAACCTTAAACCACAAGAAACACCAAGCATGATCCCTAACCGCTCAGACACTCTAGCAGCGCCCCCCCCCCTCCCCCCCTCCTCTCCAGCAAGAGACTCGTCATGCCTGTGCACAGCTATATGTACTTAGCCTCCTCGCTCTCACTAATGGCGTCCATGGCATCCTGAAAACCCCGTTTGTTTGAATCGTTCGAATGCAATTCGATTCCCAAACGATACGCAGATATCGCACAGACAGTCACCAAAGTCAAATCTTCGCCGACAGGAACCTCGACCATTCACCATTACTGATCGGGTAAGGCTATGCCTTCACCATATCCTCTCTCTCTCTCTCTCTCTCTCTCTCTCTCTCTCTCTCTCTCTCTCTCTCTCTCTCTCTCTCTCTCTCTCTCGCTCTCGTCGATGAACACTGCAAAACTTGCACGAATGGTAACCCTACCCTCCCATGAACCCCATGAGCCCGCACAGCGGCCCAGGAGCAGGGAAGGGACTCCGAGATCAAAAGGGTACTAGGAGCTAAAAATAAAATGACTCCAATACCAACAAATCAGGACGAAGGCAGTCACCTCTCTTTTGCAGCTGTTATTTGGCATGTGCATCAAATCCAAATCAATTCCGAACGCTTGAGACCATGTAAGGGCCAATCGATTTCTCAACAGGAAACAGAGAAGCTTTCACCATCGCGATCTACTTGCTGTATCTCCACGAATCTACAAATCTATTAAATCATGATTAAAAATGAAAAAAAAATCATCCAGTGCAAAATTAAGTCCTGAGTGTTACAAATTCAAATGCTATTAACAAGATCCACCTACACCGTACAACAAACCTCTCTCTCTCTCTCTCTCTCTCTCTCTCTCTCTCTCTCTCTCTCTCTCTCTCTCTCTNTCTCTCTCTCTCTCTCTCTCTCTCTCTCTCTCTCTCTCTCTCTCTCATCGTGTCAAAGCATGACCACACAATAAACACATTTCACAACAAGCATCATCATCTGCCATACCAGAGCATCAAGAACCAAAAGAGGACACATTATCAATAGCAACCTTACTCAATTTGCAGCATATCATTATTTGAGTCCAGGTCAGGACCACCATTACCCCTCCACAAGCCGACTTCGTTGGCAGAACCTCGTTCCCCAACCAACCCGGCATCCCGAACGTCACTGCTGCCGATATCATCCAAGTCAGTCAAATACTGTCTACCATTCCCCTCCACACTCTCTTCTTCTCCTTCTCCTTCACTTGGTCGAGGAGCATCCAGGGGCACCTTTTCCATCACAAGGTGCCCATTTAGAGCCACCCTGTACTGGATCCGATACCTTCGCTCTCCCTCAGCTGGCAGCTTCAGCCTTGGGACCTCGTCTCGTTGATAAACGGATGGTAATCTACTACCAACCTTCAATTTGATGCCTCCACCGGTCAAAAATGCACCCGCCGCAGTCAAGAACACCGAGATGACTGTGTTCCACATCCAGCTGCTATGCCACACCACACCTGCAAGCCGCCTCTCTTCCCGCACCGTTAAGACCTGACGACCATGTGTCTGAGTCTCAGATTCCTCCTCCTCGTCCTGCAGATGGGCTGTATCGGCAATACCCTGCAGCCCTTCAGGGAACGTTAGGCGTGAGGTCGCAATATCCACACTTCCCAACTCTGCCTCAGAATCGTACTCTGAGCTAGACAGCATGAAAGAATCGTCCACAACACAGCAGCCCCCACCCATGTACCCTAAACTAGGGGGGATCGGACCCCCACCCATGTACCCTGAACCAGGGGGGGTAGGACCCCCACCCATGTACCCGGATCTAAGGGGGGGGGTAGGAACAAAGTCTGACCTGAGACTGATGGAAGAAGACGCAGACGAGAACGATGCAGAGGAGTCGTTCGTCATCGACGCTGTGTCGGTATCCCTTGAGCACTGGTCGGCGCTAGGGTATGCTTCTGAGGGGCACCAAGTACCACCGCGCACGCGGACCTCAGAATTATCATTTCCCATGTCGACGGACGCGCTGCGCACATGCTCACTGGAAACAACACCAGTCCCAGAAAGCTTCCCACCGTCATCAGCAGCAGTACCCTCTCGATGCTTCTCTCTTTTCACCTTCGCCCCTCTCATCCTCCTCCTCCTCCTAGCCCTAGCCTCCCTCGTCTGACTGCTGGAGGAAGAAACGCTTACAGACATTTCGTCGGACACAGGTGGCATGTTGCTCTGGCAGCAATTGTAGCAAAAGCAGCTTGTGACTGGACAGCGGCCAAGGCTGCCTAATGGTCCATCACAGTCGCTCACATAGATCGTGTCAAGATAAGCGTTGCTGGCAAGAGCATAGCACATATTACCACGTGGGGGCTCAGCATCTGCATCGAAAGTGCTGTGCTCGGTATCAGACACACTTGTGTCCGAGAGACATAAGCCATCCATTCCTCCAACGACCCACGGTGTGTCTTCAGCCAACCTACATGTCTCCCCCGCCATCAGTACTCTCTTTGTGATAACCAATTCACTTCGACGTCTTGGGCTAAGATCCTGCACTCCTATCAGCACAACAGCGAGGACATCACAAAAGCACCCGGGCAACGATCAAACCGAGTTCACTTTGTTTCAGGCTGGTCTCATTAAATGCAAAGGATAGATCCGCATCTTAGAGTAATGCTGCCACACACACACACACACACACACACACACACAAGTTTCTCAGACTTACTGCCGTTCTTGTCAGGGGTTTGAACCCCCGACAGTCTGCTAGGATTGCAAGGTTGGTGTGAGTAAAGTCGACCACTTTTCTCTCTCACTGATGGGTGTCGCCAACTCTGGGCGATGTGGTGAGTCCTTATCCATCATCAGTCAAATTAATCCTGGACAGGCGTCTGTCCAGGTTCATCCTCCTGATGAGTAGGTGAAAGTCCGACGAAACAGTCTGTTCGGCACAGTCATGCTTTTTTTGAGTGTACAGCGAATATGACAACACACACACACACACACACACACACACACACACACACACACACACACACACGCACACACGCACGCACATATACACACGCACATACACACACACACACACACACACACACACATATGCCAGACATGGACCCGAATATTCGTGCGTACATCCTGCATCATCCGGGGCATTTCAGTGCTGTTACCTTAGCAGATAACTCATGGGCCTTGTGGGACTATGGCGGCAGGGTGCACACGGTGGGAAATAATACCTGTTTCGATCACAGAGTGGCAGAACCTCACTCTGTCTGGCTGGTCAATCAGGAATAGTAAGTGGATGTACACTACTCGCAAGCTCTACAGCCTCCTGAGAACAATCATCCCGATCCCTTCCCCTCCCCTGAACATGGCCAGACAGCGTCCCTTACCTGTGTAGATCGGACAGATTCTGCAAACCAATAGTGAAGGGTCCCCTCCAGAGGACGGCAGTTGTGCCATGCCATTGTGTCTTCACACAGCTACAGTTTGGTTAGCATGCACAAGACATAATCTCTGCTTCGATCGTCAAGAAAGGATGGTCACTCTCGTCCTCTGCCACAAAAACTGTGAACCGCAGTCTCGCACTCATCCCCCGCCACCCCACCCCTTTACTACTTTACTTGCCCGAATATGCCTTTTTGGCCTCGACATGCCATATGCTTAAACCACCAGTACTTGGCCCAGCTATCCGCCACGGGAAAGAATAAAGTAGAAACGTTTCTACTCGGATGAACTTGGGCACCCCTGTAGTGGCCCGTACATTTCCTAAAATTGTGGCTTGTTAAGGGGCACGACTTTAGGAAGTACTGGTGGTTTAAATAGCTGCGAACGTCAGCCTGCTTTCCTGCTGGCATGTCAACAACATCTCACGTGTCGTCAATCTCTCCAGGAAGCTGTCTTGGAAAGTATGTCTAAAAAAAAAAAAAAAAAAAAAGTATGTGTCTCTGCTGCATGGACTATCCCTGTCACATCCTCTCAGTTCATGTCGCACATGCAGAATTGCGCATACACCTGCTGCACCCGTAGTCAGATCTCCTTCGCCCGTAGCCAGACGAGCAACAGACACAGCAGCCTGAGGTGGAAAATCGACTCTCAAATGAACTACCTACGGTGCACTGTACTGAAAAAATATCGCCGCCATGGCGAGCTGTTGTTGCAGACCAGATCTTCCAACAGCTAAACACCCTTACTTCGGATCAGCAGCGCGCCCCCCCCCTCTCTCCCCCCCCCCGGTCACTGCCTGCCCATAGCCAGGGAATATCGGCTGCTGATACCAAAGAGACGTGCTCAATGCCGCTCTGTGCTGTGATGGCCGCACCTGAGATTCGACTACGGTAGCATGTGATTCGTGTGCCCTGAGGATCATCAAGGCAAAGTCCATCCAAGTCTTCGTTTTCATGCATATGATGACAGTCAACACTGCACTCATGTGGAGCTCCCTCACATGAGCATAATCTATTTCATCTGAGAACACATGCAAAGATGCTCCTGTCCCATATTTGTAGACAGGGGCTGGAACGGTAATGCCTGTACATCTGCGGTCCGTGTGACTCCGTGTTCCTAGCATGCATGCATGTACCGTGACATCAGTCTACGTCATGCCATTCCATGCAGCAGCTGCAACTGCAAGAATTGGACGTGGTACTTCCACGGTCCACACCCAAACCGGTCCTGTCCGATCTGTAGCGGTGGCCACTTGCCCTAGGCAACGGCTTCTGCTCAACTCAAAATCGCCTGCAACCCCAACACTGACTAACCCCTCGTCTCATTTTATAGTCGCATGCTCCAGCCGTGAGCATCGAGAACCCTGTAGAGTCCTGTGGAGTTTGTCTTTCTTTCATTTCTGTTCCTCTTTCTCCACTTCCCGCCTCTTCCCCTTTCCCCTCCCCCGGGCCCCCCTTCCACCCCCTTCCACCCCCTACCCCGTTCCTTTCTCTCTCTAGTTGTACGAATGAGCATCATAAAGAGAAGAGACAAAATATAAACTGCAGATATGACGAAAAACGAACAGGAGTACACCTCCCCCTTTACACTGCCTCCTTTCATAGCGTGCAAGTGGGCCATTATGCCATACAGGGGTGCCATCGGGTAGCTTGCACTCAACCATAATCAACCTAGCAAGCCTTCTATGTTTAGAGGCACAGTAAAAGGGGAGAAGGAAGCCAAAGTCAAGATAGCAAAGAAAGGAATCTACAAGGGAAATGCCATGTAACGGATTTACTGTGCTTCATGTTGTACTATAGAGGCAAAACTGTTTCAATGTTGGATTTGCTCATCTTTAATGTGATTCAGTGTGCTTCATTGACTGCTATATAGAGGTAAAACTGCTTCAATTTTCGATCCACTCATCTGGGTGGAAAAGGGACTTGTGGAGACTATTCACACACACACACACACACACACACACACACACACACACACACACACACACACACACACACACACACANCACACACACACACACACACACACACATCACGGAATAGTTAGGGGTACGCTAAAGGCTACGTAGTGTCAGGGTACTTGGAGACGTCTTTCAGCTTTTCTTTACCACCCTTGGCTTGTTTTCTTAGCCTTTGGCGCGCTCTTGTAATCTCTTTTAACTTGCCGGTGTTAATCGCACGGGATACCTCCCCAGAATATAAATAGAGACTGGCATTTCCAAAACATATTAAAAAGCGGTGGTCTGTGAAAACAGGTGGTGCTATGCCACAGCTGATGCCACAGTTGGCAATGGCTGGCGTGAGTGACAAACAATCACCAGACAAAGCAGATTGCTGACGTCGCAATTATCTCTGCACCGAATTAACCCCTGCGAGTGGGATTTATTAATCACTCGGGAAAGGACATGCATGAAGCTCAGAGGGATACTACCAAGTAATTAAAAAAGGCCCCATCAAAAAAAAAAAAAAAAAAAAAAGGCCCCATTTCCAAGCCCGTGACCCAAGTAGTCCCTGCGCAACGACCAAAAGGGAAACATCATACACCAGAACAAGCTCTTCCATCTTCCACTCCCCTCCACGTGATGAAATACCCCCCATTTCCAAGCCTGTGACCCAAGTAGTCACTGTGCAATGTCCAAGAAGGAAACATCATACGCCAGAAAGAGCTCCTCCATCTCCCACTCCCCCCCCCTCTCCCACCCCCCCCCCCCTCTCTCCCCCATACCGTTGTCATCCCATGGTATGTTCACAAGGTCATCAACCACCAACAACACATTCCCCCCGCTCCCTTCTAAATGCCTTTCCATCCCTTGACCTTCCTGTTATGCCCGATCTGCTCTCGTTTCCTTCAAAATCTCCTTCTCTCCGCTCTCTCCTCTCCACTCCCATGCTCCTCTTCTCTCTCCTCTCAGCGGTCCCAACATTTCCTTCGCCTTCCTCTTTCACGGCCATTGATCGATGACTTGATACTCCAGCCCCTATGTTTCACACGCCGCCATCAGTTTTGACAATGGGTGGACGGATGATCCTAACTGGTTGTCCCGTCAAATTCATGCCCATCTACAAGATCTAAATTTCCAAAACCTGTTCACATTCTATTCCTAGAGATTGCAAAAGCCACATCAAATTGTAAACTCCAATCCTTCGGCAGTTAATCACCGATTTGCTCATCAATTCACCTGCCGTCCAGCAGGCTACCCATTCAGTTATTGCATCGATCTGATTCCCTCAAGATTTGAACTCGTGATCTGTTCATCAACAGTTCCATGTTCGTAACATTCCGCCACATGGGCAATACCCAGATCGCCGGACTCTTGTTTTCTTCTTGTGGTTACTTCTTGGGGCTGAACACCTGTAGTGGGGACCACACCAAGCCACGTGTCATCGTGACAAGAAGCTCAAAATCGAACTGCTTCTGACTGTTTGTTCACGTGTCCAAGCACAACCTCGGGAATGACGAGAATTTTCTTGCCCCCGCCTGTTTCAAAAACATCATGCAAAGACCGTTCTGCTACACCCTGCCTGAACGCTCAGTGGCAAACAGTGCCAACGGTTGTCCGCAGTTTACGACTTCAACTTCGTTCCCTTCCCTACTGGATCGAGTTAGACGCAACCGCTTTTTATTTGAGAAAAAATCAACGCACCAGTCCGCTGCTGTGTCCAGGGGGGGCCCATACCGGCAAATACATACGCGCAGCCACACAAATAACGAAATTTGCTAGACGACTGTAAAGGGTAAAACCATTCCACTTTTGGATCTACTTATCCGGGTACAAAAGGGGCTGTTCTGGTGACCGTCCAAAACAGAATCAATGTGGACATGACAACACACACACACACACACACACACACACACACACACACACACACACACACACACACTCACGCGCGCGCGCGCGTGTATAGCGAATATGACTAAGCACACGCGCGCCTGTCATATTTGCTATTCACTAAAAAAATAGCATGACGCGCGCGCGCGCGTGCACGCACACTCATGATGAGTCGGTGAAAGTCTTATGAAACAGTCGGGCACAGCCATCCTTTTTCATGGAGTTGTGTTAGCGCGCATGACAGTACATACTCACACAGACACGAGGGCCGCTGAAAGTCCTCTGAAGCAGTCTGGCACAGCCATGCTCGTTCTATGGAGTTGTGTATAGCGGACATGACAAAACACACACACACACACAGTCGAAGGAAAAGGAGGAGAGGGAAACGTGTGGAAGTGGGAGAGAAGGGAGGTCGCGAAAGAAGAAGAAGAAGAAGAAGAGAGAGAGAGAGAGAGAGAGAGAGAGAGAGAGAGAGAGAGAGAGAGAGAGAGAGAGAGAGAGAGAGAGAGAGAGAGATGTACCTCACAAACAGGGACGGCTGCCGCGCACTTGCACATTCTTCATTGCCCTCATGCAAAAGTCCGCCAAGCAGGCACGCAGGCAGGGTAAACGAGTGATGAGAGAGAACCAGCGGCAGCATCCGCCAGAGTTTCCCGCCGAAGATAGAAGGCTACATGCGAGCCGACCGCCTTCCCCGTCTTCGCCGGCCGTCACAGAAAAAAAACACAGAATTCTGTCGCTCATGGGACTTTACCCGCTCCCTTCCAATAGACCTCGTTCAGTGTCCTTCGGCTAGCTCATGGGACTTACCCGCTTCTTTCGAATAAACGGTATTCAGCGTTCTTCGGCTTCAATACAGCATTCAACATCTCGCGACTGCGTGCCCGGCATCGGGCCATTAAAATTAAACCAGGTTTTCTCACGTGTACCGTATATGACCATCAAACACGCTTACCATACATTTGTCGTCGTGTACCGTATCGGACCATCAAACACGCTTACGATACATTTGTTCCTTGTACTGGCTCTATGGGATTGGAACAAGCGTAGAAGCAGAGATCGCGGTACTCACCTACCGTCTTCCCCCGGACATAACGCACCCTAAAAATGAATGTATACAGACGCTAGTACTCGGCAGGCAATAGCTCATTGGGCGGGAGGAACGAAAACGAGAACTCGTTCGCCGCCATCCGCCTATCCCGCCAATTCGCTTGCTGTAGCGGATAGCCCGCCGGGCAGGGGCAAAGTGCCACCGAAGTGCCACTACTACTATAGTAGCAGCTTTGAGTTTCCTCATGTGGACGTATCTGCAAAGAGGTGCAGAAACTCGCGTGAGTTTCTTCAACCGCACATCTGCACGAACACGTCCACATTCGGGCGTTGAGGAAACTCAACGCTGGTGGTCTGGACTGGGGCCCACAGGGCGGACCGACGGACCGACGGCGGGCACACGGCGGGAACTCCGGAAGCCTGACGCCCCAGCACGCATACTCGCACTACCAGTGTACCTTTCTTTTCAACGTAAGGTTTTAGGCGTGATTGCAGTCAGGTCCATCCAGATGCGACTGGAAATGAGGTCCCATACGTCGACGAAGTCGTCCGTTTAGTATGACCTGAACCAAATTCTCTCTTTTTGTCGGCCGTCAAGATTGTGAATCTGGACCGCAGAAAATCAATTGGCTCAGACTTCCTCCAGGCCAATCGAACGCGCGCTCGTTATCGCCGCACCTGGACTGCAAGAGCTAGAACAAGTATTGTAAATAGACTCAAATTGTTTATTGTAAATATTGTGATTTTGTGTTAATGAAATAATTACTAGATATAAAGAATAGAGATAAAAGATAGATATAGTACTTAATCGATAGAATATTGCAATAATTCGAATATTCGCCACAGGCCGAATAGAACGTGGTATCTTAAAATTAGGAGATTTTGTTGAATTAATTGGCTTAAACGAAAAAACTCGTAGTACTGTTGTTACAGGGCTGGAAATGTTTAGAAGACTTTTAGACCAAGGTGTACCCTTGCAGGACCAAGGAATGCCGCTGAGCTCTGGGTGATCCGCTTTGAACTGCGCCCTACCGCGGGACAGCGGAACAGCGGAGGCGCGGTCCACTGATGGCGCCAGCACACACTCAGGTTTTTTGTGTTTGCTTTGGGGGCGGGGGAGGCGGGGGAAGCGGGGGAGAGGGGGGGGGGAACCACGCAGCGCGGATAGGCCGTCAGTAGGAATCTCGGGACATCCGGCGGACGGCTTGGGGATAGCTGCAGAAACACAATTGATCTACTTTTCTGCATCTCTTCGTAAAACACATCCAGATTCAGGCGCTTTCCGCAATCCTCTTGCCATTTATTTATAAAAAAAAACAAAAAAAAAACTCTTGCCAGTCGAAGCGCGCCCACTATACTATACACACGATTTGCATGGGGCCCTCACCAAAAGTTGCCGCCATCAAATCCGGAGACAGGGAAAAAATAATAATAATAATAAAAAAAAATCGGGAGATAGAAAAAGAAAAAGTTCGAAAAAAAAAAAGAGAACAAAGAAGGCGCCGTTTGCCCGAAGGGCCCCGTTAGCCGGCGGCGGCAACCAATGAAATATCAAATATCACATCCCGCGAACAACTCGTTTTCAAATTTGGGCGTGTTTTTTTTTTTCTTCTGTTCTAAGCAGGGACCAGGTTCCGCTTGGGCGGACTAAGAGATTTGGGCCGTCGACTCTTCGCGATCTCTACGGCCAATTTTGCTTAATTCGTGCAAGGAGGACCTACCAGTAGCCCGAGGACAGCACAGCACGTGTTGCATAGCATAGCATACGTGTGTGCCTTCCAGCCCCATATGGGCGACGTGCAAATGTAGGCGGTTTTAAAACGATGTAACACGGCAGTAAATAAATTAACCTTGCCCTCTTCAAACGGCTATTAATTGTCAGAAGATAACGGCAGGAGTCAAACGACTAAAGGCACGCCCTAAGGGGTATTTCTTTTCTTTTTTCTTTTTTCTTTTTTCGTTTTTCTTCTTCTCGGAATTTATTATGGGGTATTTCCGCCTTCTGCAGGAGCGAGGTCCCACTAGGAAAGAGGATTGGATTTGAATTCATGCATCTGGACGTGTCTGCCTATCTTATCAATTGTCCTAAAGTGAGACGGGAGAGGAGGGGGAGAAGGAGCAGAAGGAGAGGCTGCCCGCCAAAGCAGGGTAGACCTTTTCTTTTTGGGAAAATTTTCGAAATGCCCCTGAAGTTTGCGTTTATTTGCGGCGTGCCCCTGTGAAGGCCGACTTACCCTGTTATGCCCCTCGGGCCTCTGAACTTTTCCGCAGGCCCTTGTCAGCACGGGGCGTAACTTTCCCATATGCCCTTACTGGGCCGCTGGTTGCATTTCGTCGGTCCATCCTTGAAATGCCCTCACGAGGGGCACACATCTTTCTGTGATGCCCTCGAGAAGTGGCGGCAGTACCGTACCAATTGGGGAATCCCCCCCGCAGACAGGGTTTCGTCGATTCCCGTTCCGAAGAGACAAGGAAAACAGAAGACGAAATCGCAAGTGGAGAGAGGAAGCGGGGAATAGTCGAGACCTTTCCTATAAGGAAGCGGTCAAGTCAGACAGCTCTGTGGGTAGCAGGAATGAAGGTGGGAAAGGAAAGAGAAACCCAAGGAATACGAGACAGGAAAAAGAAAAAAGGATTCCAAATAATCCAATTCCAATGGGGAAGCCTGTGAATGATATGGATGCTAAGGAAGAAGAATCGACAGAGGAGGAAGAAGATACGGAATCGACGCTTGAAGGACATGCAGTGAAGATTCTACTAGGGAAAGGGTTTCAGAGAAAGAAAGGGGACCCTCCCTCCCCCCACCAGAAATGGGTTCCGGTGGGGGGAGGTGAGCCAGACGACAGAGCTGAGTCTAGAGCCTTGGGTGAAGGGACAAGTGGGGAAGGGATTCTTGGTGTTGGATCAGGCCCCTTACCCAAAAATCCCATCATCACCCTAAATGCTTCCGATGCGAATGTTCCGAGAATTTTTCTACCGTTAATTTTAGCCAACTCCAGCGATGGAGTAATGGTTATGGCAAATATGCTTGCGAATGGAGCCATGGAGCTCCCAACCGCGTACGCCAAAGAAGCGTTAACGGAATCAGTTATCCTGGCCAAGGCAAAGAAGCTGGTGCCCGCATGTTTGAAATTACGAGTCATTCCAACACTACGTGTAGAAGTCGACACAGCGCAAGACAGTTTGGGAAACAGAGCGAGACTGTACTACGTTTTCCTAAACGAGCGAATGACAAACAACATCAAACAACTGTTGCTCTCCTTGGATAAGGACTGGTTCCCCCTCTCCACCCTCGGTTCTCCCTTGAATGAAGGTCTGGATTGCATCAGTTTCAAAGGCTACTTCACGGCTAGGACAATCGCGAGGTGGCTGTTCCACTCAGCGCACAGACAGACATTATTTGCTGCCTCGTTTGTAGATACACTCCGTCAACCATGGGAGGAACAAATGTCAGAAGGTAACGCTTGAAGGTATCCGAAGGAGGAAGACAGGGGAGACAGACCTGGATCTCGGTGACCGCATCCATGGCAAACCCGGCACCGAGATGAAGGATGCCTCTTAGAGGTAAACTCCGTATTGCCTCATGGAATGTACGCGGGTTGTGCGACAACAATAAGAAATATAAGAGACAACGATTGAAGAGCTGGATTCACACTAACAAGATACACATAGTTTGTATCCAAGAATCCAAGTTATATGAGTTTCGTATAAAAGATGTCCCGAAGTGGTGGAAGCGCCCATGAACCGACGGGCATTGATAAGTCCCGTCTGTGTGAGCGGGTAAGAATACCAGCGGGGGTTACGTGCTGACTACAGAGCAAAGTGTACGAGAATTGCCGTATCCGTGGGTGTTGTGTGTGGTGTGTGTTGAGTTGGACACTACAACCTTGCAGGGGTGGGGTGGATATCACGACCGGTATGATTCCACTTTTGAACACCATGTCCTGGCTGTAGTGGTTAAAAGACTTGGCTCTTGCCGAAGTCGCCGGTTCGAATCTGTGCTTGCACGGAGGAGGACTTAGGCCTAGACGTACGGAATCCATACTACTATTGGGCACCAGCACGGGGAGAAAACCAGACACAAGGTTCAAGGGGAGGTGTTGGTATTTTGATACACAGAGACTTGGAAGTCACTATCGTAGATCAGATGATGGATATCTGGGGGAGATGGATCTGGGTTAAATTGCTTGTCGAAAATGAGCTCTGGACAATAATGTCAATCTATACTCTGGTGTGCTATAACGAGCGTCTGATCTTTCTTTCGAAACTTCCAAGCTTTCTACCTGACTCTGAGAATCTAGTTATAGGTGTTAACTGGAATGTGACGTTAAACCCAGGGTTAGATAGCCCCAATAGGGAACCTAGGCGGACTGACAGCAGACTGCTAAATACCTTTATGGTAGCCCAGGGACTTACTGATGCATACCGTACTTTACACCCTGAGGAACCGAGGTATACATGGCACGACTCTCAATCTCCGCCAGTTCGTAGAAGATTGGATTTTTTTCTGATGAGGGGACAGGTTTGGGACGCCTGTATGCAGGTTGAGCTACTCAGTCACTCCCTTTCAGACCATAACCCAATTGTTGCTTCCTTTAAACTCTCTCACCAAGACAATTTTGGGAAATCATACTTTAAGCTGAATACGCTGCACCTCCAAGACCCAGTTGTCATCCAATGGATTCGATAACACTTGAAACTGTGG